TTTTTATTGGAGGGCGACGACCTCGCAAAAATTATTTAAGTTTCATTATAAATCATATTATTTAAAATTACTTTATTTTCTTTAAAAAAACAAAATTGAAATTTTGATTGCTAAATATTTTTGAATACTCATTTGTTTTCGTGCTAATTTTATAGACAGACATATTGGCGTATTCGCCTTTTAGTTTTATTCTAGATTCAGCGTATGTGTATCTGGCGTTTCCATATGTATTGTCAGTATATACAATACAGTATATACATTTGATTTAAACAAAGAATATCTATTGTTTTATTTACTTTTAATCAAAATACTATTTAGATTAAAGTTTTTAGAAACCAAAGGCACATCTTTTTAAAGAAGGGGATTTTGAACAAAACTTACCAGAGATGTTTTCAACAAATACAGACATTATTCTCCACTTTCAGTGGAGAAATAATTTAGAAGATCTGGTGACAAAATAACTCCAACAAAAAAGCTGATTGCTTGTACTATTGACATCAAACAGAAAAGCGTTCTTGTCTTGATATCTTGACAGCTGTCCTGAAAACTGCATTCTTTATACAGAAACCTTGGTAGAAACCTTGGATAGACGGAGGATACAAAAATTCTAAAGAAGACCAGCATTAATAAGGACTCGTATAATTCAGGTATGAAATTTTTGAGAGATCAAAAGGCCAGTCGTAAAATAACCCTGGGTAAAAAAGAAAAACTATATAATTGAAAAACAAAAGAAAATCATACAGCAAAATGCTGCACAGCACAAAAAGGAGTAATATATATGAGCTACATTTCAAACAATTCTGCAAGCAAATTAACTCAGGCAAAACAGCAGCTCCAGAAAATTTAATGTTTAAATGGTTTTAGAAAAGCTGGAATGGCATAAAGGAAACTATTGATTTTTCCAATTTGATTCTTTTTTGACAAGCCAGATTAACGAAACTCTCCAGTTTGGCCACTTTGAAACATTTTAAATTTCCTTTTTAAAACGTTCAATAAAATTGTATAATGCACCATTGTGTATATATTCACATGCAATAAAACCAAAATATGGTTCAAAGCAATAAATTCAAAAACTAGTTTTATTAATAAACACTTATTTGACAACTTTTTCCTCGTCTTTTCGTACCATTTTTAAAATCGATAAGATACATGGATATTATAACAATAACAGAGTCTTCTGCTTTAAAATTAGAATACAATAAAAAAGTAGAAAACGCTCAAGATTTAAGAAAAAATGTTTTAAGAATATTAAAAACAGAGAAAAAAATAAATAACAATCTGACAAAAGAACAAAGGATATCTTTTAGAGAAATAAAAAGCGACGAAACCATTGCTATATACTCGTTTGACAAAGGAATAGGTTTTGTAAGAATTGAAAATTCTAAAGCTTTGGAAAAAATCCGTGAACAAATTGGTCCGACAAAAATAATTAGTGAAGACTCTACTGCTACTTACGCGGCAAAAATTAGAAGATTTCTCTCTAAACTAAATAAAAAACGTTTTTTTAAAGAAGAATACGAAAAAATATATCCTAGTGATCCTACTCCACCTCGAATGTATGGAGTAATAAAAGCTCATAAACCAGATAAATTGCACCCTATGAGAATAATTATTTCTATCATTGGCACACCAAACCATGGAATATCAGAATTCTTAGTTAAGACAATATAACCAGTCTTAACCCTTTCTGGCCTGAATTATGCAAATGTAATTTTAAAAAAAATTTTTTCTTGAAAACACACCTATTATAAGTCAAAAATCAAACCCAGACAGAAAAAATTATATAAAACATTTCATACAGCAAAAGATAGCTATGTCGCGTATTGTACACAACAGGCCACAACGGCCGTATAAGACAAGGTACAATAACACAGTTATCAACAGTTATTCGTGAAACTGGCGAAAACAGTTACTCTTCTTTGAAAGGCAAAGATTTGCATTGCACTTAGTGCATACAAAAACAGTTTGTCCTTTGCACCCTGGACGCTTGCACCTCTGCCTCACACCATGTGCCGGCCAGTGACCAACAGAGTCTGTGCGAACATCCTGAGTTGGCACAGGCTTAGCAGGTCCCCTCTTCTTCTTGCGCTGCAGCTCTGCCTCCATACTGGTTGATGGTCTGCCACGCTTCTTTGCTGTCATGTCTTTGCCTTCACGACAAAGAGCATCAGCTATTTCAAGCTTGAAGGCCATAAGATCCTTCTGCTGACGCTTATCAACTCCCATATCACGACAATCCCGGCGATACAGTAACCAGCCAGTTGCCACTGCCAAGTCCACAAAATGGAAAAAAAAGCGGTGGTAATATTTCTTTGATTTCAAGTGGATCCGATACCTCGCCATGATGGCATCCAGGGTATCAACTCCTCCCATGAACTTGTTGTAGATCTGTATGATTTCTGGGCGTGGCACGTCAATATGCTGCTTTGTAGTACGATCCCACCGCCTCGCAGTTGACACTGGTTCTGCACTAGCAAATGTACTGGCTAGTGTTACAGACTTGTTGTCAAACCACTTGACAACTCGAACTTCGACACCATTGACCACACCCTCTCTTTCTTCAAATGAGCCACGCCCTTTCTTCTTCAGAGTTGCATCAGCAATCATCTTGCAATTCTGAAGACGATTCGCACGAACTGTCCCAACTGCTAATATGTTCCTATTAGCTAGGGCTGACAGCAACTTCAGTGACGTAAACCAATTGTCAAAAAACAACAGGTACTGCTTCTCTTGCGGCAAGACCTCGACCAGCTGAAGCACAATGTTGCCACTGGCACCAATGTTTGCTTGATTGGATGCTGCCTGAATCTTTCCAGTGTATATTATGAAATTATGCACAATTCCAGTCACATCACACAGCATAAACACTTTATAGCCCCATTTGTAGGGCTTGCTCGGAATGTACTGTTTCATTCCCGACTGTCCCTTGAATGGGATAATTTGTTCATCCACTGACAACTTATGGTCAACTTCCAGTGAATGGAACTTTGGCAAGAGAGAGTCAATCAACGGACGTATTTTGAACAATTTATCTCTCTGAACGTCATCTGGAGCAAGCATATTTCCATTGTCGTTGAAGTGAAGATTACTTTTCAGTTCAACCCACCTGTCACGTGACATCACATCTGCAACCTGTGACAAACGCGATGCTTTGCCCCAGTACATCTTACTTCTTGGCAGATTAAAAATAGACATGTACATAGTCATACCAAGAAACTGTTCAATTTCATCCTTGGAACAACCAATAGGCTTATTTACATCTTTTTGTGTTGCATACAGATTGGTGTGATCAGTAATGTGTTCCACCAACCCACTGTCAAAGAAGTAACGAAAGTACTCCACTGGCGACTTTATGGTATCAGCAGAAGCACGTTGATCAGCAGACTCTGGCATTGACTTTGCAGATGATTGGCCAGTAACACATTTCCAAACAGTAGATCTTCCAACAGCAGCAGAAGTGGAAGGCTGCTCATCATCGCTGCTGTCTTGCTGGTCAGATACTTCGTATTCTTCTGTATCGTCACCAGATGATACTTCAGCAACTTCATTGTCACTCGACGAGAGCTCATCATCATCACTTTCTGCAGGAATGTTACGAACAAAACGAGCTGTTGTAGCAGTCTTCTTGTAGAACTGAACAGGCTTCATCTAAAATCAGAATACAATTTATGCTATGATTAGTATTGGTATCTAGTATTATATATCACTATGTTTGCAATAAAAAATACAAAAAAAATATAAAATATGCACAGATACAAAAATAATATCAATATCACTACTAACAGAACAATCATTATAGCAAATACTATATCACAAATAATAATAGTAATAATATTACAAATCATAATATAGCCCAAACTTGCCCTAATTACTAACTCTAGCCTAACCCTAAGTCGCACCTCAGACACTCTATAAAAGTATAGCAGATATAATTGGTATCTATAAGAACACTAAACAAATATATAATAACTATACTAAAACATGGCTATGATACTATTGTAGCTGCTTGTATTACCAGCAATAATAATAATAATATTAGTAATAAATTATTATTATTATTACTACTATTAGTATTATAATTATTATTCCTAGTAGTAATAAAATTGAACACTATTATGAACATGGTAAAATATAAATATATTTCACCATAACAAATCATAAACAAATAATCTGTCATTCCAGCATGTTATATCACACAATACTAAGCTGAAGAGTGTCAATTTTGTATCTGTTATATTCAATGCTATGCCCGATTGTGTATAATTCCACACATACAAAAAACACCACATAAAAATTTATTCCTGCAATCCAGCTACAAATTCAAGGTACTACTATACAAAGACACCACTACTACATAAAATCCATAACATTTCATGGTTATAACTAACCTGTATAACTCGGAATAGTCAGGTCTTCCGTCTCGTAGTAACACCGTAGACCTTCTCACAAAATCCCTGTAAACAAAGCTCGAGCCAAGAATCCAAAGTAAGAACGTCATTGGTTCAACGATTTTATCGTCATCCTAGGTATGTGTACAATACGCGACAACCGGTCATAACGTTCTAAACGCCACTGCTATTAAAGCAGCGCGTGGATCTCGGTATGTGTAAAATTCTACACAACCGGCCAGAAAGGGTTAAATGAAAATCCGACAAGATTAAAAAACTCTTTTCACTTTATAAAAAAAGCAGAAAATTGGAATGTCACCAACAATGATATTCAAGTGTTTTATGATGTTGTAAATCTGTACCCGTCAATTCCGTTAAAAGAAGCCACCGTTATACTTTTGGAACAATTGAGTATCAGTTTATCATACAAAAAACTTAACAAAACTAAATATACCTGTAATAAAGCAACTCATATAACTTTGCTTGTATCAATGTTATATTCATTGGAACAATGAGATTCACGTGATGGAAAACTTAGGACTAATCGGACTTTCTTTCATGGTTGTTCTTGCGGAATCTTTTCTACAATTTCATAAAAATAATGCAATTAAAATGGCTTTGACAATAAATCCTGTACCTGATCTAAAATCATTTTTAAGTTACGTTGACGATAGTCATGCAAGATTTCCTAACATCAAACAAGAAAAACAGTTCCAAGATATTTTAAATCAACAACATCCTGGAATACAATACACAAATGAAGTTAAAAACGAAATAAAAACGCTTAACTTTCTTGATATAACCATTACAAATAACACACTAGGAAAATATGAGTACAAAGTATATCGAAAAGAGGCAATCACTAACATTCAAATTAAACCGCATTCAAGTCACAATCTAAATATTTTAATAGCCATACATAAAGGTTTTCTCCATAGAGCTTACTCCATTTGTAGTAAACATCATTTGCAAAACGAGATACATTTTTTAATTGACATGTTTATTGAAAATGGGTACGATGAAAAGCTATTGAGGAATATTACACACCTATTTAATTAAAAAAGACAAAATAAAAACACTATTTCATCAGAATGCAGTAATCTTCCTGTAGTGTCTTCACCTTGGGTACTAGGCCTTTCACTAAAACTTCAAAAAACATTCCGAAAAGCAGGCTGAAGAGCAGTATTTAAATCAAACCCAAATTTAAGATCTTTATTAACATCAAAAAAAAAAAAAATTACTAAGTTACAGCCAGCCTTGAACCTATATAATAAAATGCAACTGCTCCAAAGTTTACACAGGTGAAACAAAAATGCAGGTAAATACGCGGATGCATCAATATCAGAAGAGCATTAATGAAAACAAATCTAATCAATCTGCATTAGCATTTTATTAAATCTTTTGCAAAGAAGATATTATTTGGAAAAAACAAGAACGTTTAAGGTAGAAAATAAAAAGTTTGAAAGAAAAATTAGAGAGGCACTAGAAATACAAAACAACATGTGCTCTGCACGAAACGGGAGAATTAATCTTGATGTGAAGGTCAACATGTCAAAACTATGTTTTGGATGTCGTTTTTAAAATTTAAAAATCAAAAGAAGCTGGCGTCAATAGTAACAATTTTATATAAACAATTACGATTAAAATTATTGTAATATTTTACAAGCTAATGATGCTGGTATCCATAACCCAGCAAAAGTTTCTTCTATAATAAAATTATTTGTATTGAGAAAAACTGAATTTCTTGACGTTTTAAAATAAAATTATATATATATATATATATATATATATATATATATATATATATATATATATATATATATATATATATATATATATATATATATATATATATATATATATATATATATATAAATATATATATATATATATATATATATATATATATATATATATATATATATATATATATATTGAAAGTTTTTTTTGATTTATTTGATTTTTTTTTTCAAATTTATTTCAAAGACCAGTTAAAGTTAAAAAACTTTGAAAAGTTATTTTTTATAACTTATTTGACTGACTGCCTGATTAAACCAAACCCTAAGTCAATGTAGCGGCACTTCCTTGTAGCAGCAGGGTTTTAGATAGTTAAAGTTAAGGCTTCAAGATAGTTGATGTAGCAGCATTTCCTTGTAGCAGCAGGTTAATACAGTTGATGTAAAAACATTCTGCGCATGTTTTACTGTAAAATATGTTTTTAAAATCATTCTGCAAAAAATAAAAATAAAATTTTTATTTTTTCAGAATGATTTTAAAAACATTCTAGTCTTTTAATTTGCGTTTTGAGAAAACAAATTTAGTTAGAGGAATATATATACACAGGGCCGGCGCAAGGGCCATGCGAATTATGCGGTTGCATAGAGCGCCGGCGGCATATTTTGAAACCCTATAGAGGCTCAGAATAGGCAGAGATGATTCGCAAATTTGATTCGCCAATTTTTAAAGAGAGGCTTTTGCGCGTAAGTTCAAAACAAAACAAATGTCAAAAAACGTATTGAATAATAAAAGTGAAATAGAGTAATAACCCAAATAATATTAATAATAAAAAAAAAATGTTGCTTATTAGTTGTTGTAGCTAGCCCAGATAATTTGAAGTACTCTCAAATTAAAAGCAATTGTAAACAAGAGCTGATTTAGATTGGCTTTGGTAATATATAGTAATAAAAGATTACAAAGCATTGTAGCATAATAAGCTATAAGAAAAAATTTATTACCTGATGTCCACAAGTGTGTTTTGATATAGTAAACTAATTACAAAAACGAACAACTCTTAACTTACTACACCTTTATGAACAGCTAAGTGTAAAAAGGTAGAAACAAGAAAAATTGCAAAAATACAAGTTCATGTTGTTGTTTATTTCAATCTCAAAAGACATTACATATAAAGCACATGTTTGTTGATATATTGCTTTTAACCTGAACAAAATATTGGTTATTGTATTCTGTAATTGGCAAAAAACGTTTACTCTTTAATAGCAACTGCTGGTAAATAATATTAAATAAAGCAACAAAGTTTGATAAACTTTTTATTTATTATGCTAATAATTTATTTTATATACTCCTGAAGAAAAAAAAATGTCTTCTCTAAAAAAATGAAAAAAAAAACTTTTTTTTCATTTTTCTATGCAGAAATATCTTTCATATTTCCAAATTTTATTTATAGTTTTATTATCTAATCTTTGGAATAACCAATAAAATCAAGTGTGCTTTTTTTGAATTTCTCTTGTGTAACAATTTAAAAATAGAGATGTGTTTGTTTTATCTTGAAGTAATATTAATTTTTTTTCTGAAAACTTGCTTCTTCAAATGTGAAAGCTTGTTTTGATGAAGTTTTTTTTATTACAATAATTGCCATAATTCACCTTAATTTGATTAAATTGTTTAACTTCAATTCTCTTTGTTAGCTTGTAATATCAACACTTTTATGTAACTGAACAAAAAAACTATTCAGTTGAAAAACAAATATCACTTTTTTTTTTGTTAAATTTTCCAATAGATTATTAATATACAATTTTCATCCTATTTATATATATAATGTTGATGTTTTATTAAAGTTAAGTAAAGAAAAATATTGACGTACGCCTTATCAGCCTTCTCAATATTTAGGTTAAACAGTAACTTCTTCAGAGTTACTAGATTTACATGGAACATGTAAGCTAGTTTGGTAAAATATCTGTGAAATTTTTTTTTTTAATTTAAATGTTTAACTATTTATAATTAACAAGACGGTGTAAAGATGCAGTAACGAGCTTAGAACAACCTCTGCCTCAGCTGAAATTTATACTTTGCATATTTTAAGTACGTTAACATTAGTCTGGTGCAATTGTATACAAACTTTGTATTGACCATGCTTTATAGAGCATAGACATTACATTTGACAAAAAACACACTTAGAAATCTTGCAAAATTGCACACATGCAAATTCAAGTTAAATATTTCAAGAGTTTATACATACAAAACACATTTTATTATAACAAAAATAATCATAGCATGACAACTAATTTTGTTCTTTTTTTTATTTGGTTAACTTATTTGACTTCAATACTTTTCCTTGCTTTTAATTTCATTGTTTATATGTAACTGCACAAAAAATTATTGTTCAGTAGAAAACATATAAATTTCACTTCTGTTGTTAAATTTTCAAATAATATTTTATACATACAGTTAATAAAGCCTGCCAAAATTTTTCTAAATTTTTAAAAAGTGTTTAATGGTTTAACATGATATTTTATTAGAGTTATGCAATAAAAAAATAAATCAGCCTCCTCCAAACAATACTATTGTTTGGAAATCTAGATCAACCTTTCTCCTTTATGAAAATAATTTATGTTTATGCATGTTTCTTAAAAGAAACACACAAAAAAACGTTGGCCTAAAGCTACCTAAAATAAATGGTATACGTAATATAACACATTTTAAACTATCTGCTACTAATTATTTTTCGTTGAAATTTGGCATGTGCATAGAAAATGCATGTAGAAAATTGTCTGAATGAAAAAAACAACCGGATCAACATTTCTTCTACTACAAATTCATGTGAGAATATCAACCAAATATTCTGAAGCAAAATAATATACAAAAAAGTGTAATAACAATACATAAATTTATTAAATAAAGCAAGATTAGCTTTTCTTCTTTCCAAAAAGCATCTATGTGTATATCTGTTTCTAAAAAGAAACTCCACAAAACTACGTCTGCCTCACGCTGCCTAAAAAAGGAGTTAAAAAAACGAGAATCAAAATTTTAGCATAAAAATCGGTTCCATAAATCGCGATATCCGCGTACCTAGTAGGTACGCGTATAGGTACTCAATATATGAGCTTTGAGGAGATTTTGTTTTCATTTTTTGTTTCAACTATTGTCAATAGTTGAAACAAAAAATAAAAAACAAAATCTCCTCAAAGCTCATATATTGACATGGAACATGTAAGCTAATTTTGCAATCAGTACAAATTTTCTTTATTTAAAAACTCAAATGTTCAACTCTTTATAATTAACATATAAATCAATTTATAAATAAAGTTCTTTATCAGTAGTCTGGTAAAACTGCATATAATCTTTATATGCCAAAGTACTTCACAAGTAGTCTTGTACAACTGTATATAAACTTTGTATTTGAGCATGTTTTAAGGCCAAGAACATATTTTGCGAGAAATACATTTATAGATCTGTAGTGTAGTAAATTAAATAGTCTATAATTAATTCTAAGCCAACATAGAAGGCTTTATTCTTCATATAATAATATGTAAACTAAAATATACAAACAGGTTAGTTTTAGTATACACATAATCAAACTCAACAAGGATAATAGTAATTATAAGAATCAGCACAAGATCTTTTTGAATTACACTTTTTTCCATTTCTTTAAATTAACAACAGATAAAACTTATCACCATGATAAGCTTTATTGAAACTTTTTTTTTTTTATTGAGATTTTTACGAGTGAAAATTCTCTGTTACAAATAGATTTTGATACCTTTTAAATATTCTAAAAAATAATAAAATAAAGTAAATTTTCTATGTTGATAGTAACACAAGACTTGTATTGATAAACTTAAGGCCGTTTTCCACAAGACGAAAACTTCGCGCGAAGCGCTACGACGAAACGCTGTTTTGATTTCCACTTACTTTCTTTCGCGCTACTTTTTTTTCGTTGTCAACAATAAAAATGGCAGCAATAGGTTTACGCTGTATGTTTAACTTAAAGCAGTTAATACTTTTTTAGCATACTTTCTACTTTGAAGCATGTGAAAATTTCTTTCCGTGCATTAATATTAACATTTCTGCCTTTATATGTAAGATGTGATATTATTTTGTAATATAATCGTTTAATATAAGGTTTTTTTTTACAAGAAAGTATAAGAAAATAAATGCTAAACTCTGATATGAACATTTCTATTAAAGACTATTACTGCAAGAACGAACAGCAGGTTTAACTCTATAAAGAATTTTTCACAAAAAGGTTTATCTTCGTGTGGCCACTTGAAGATAAACATTCTTATGAAGTGTAACTTTCGTAATTGACAGTGTGAAAATTT